CAATACAGAAAGGCGATAAAAGAAGACGGAAGACCAACGGGTATGGTCGAAACTGCAGACGGTGAGAAAACAGTCTGTAAAGCCCACCGAAAATTTCCCTCTTACAAGGCCTAGATGATAGCCGGAACGAATAGTTGTATCTTCTCGAAAGGCATTGTAAGACTAGTTCTTACCTTAGCTCATTAAGCCAGCAGTTCTGCTCTATTTAACTTAACATCTGTCTCCTGAAATAATCGAATTTATACACCAATGTTGATTCATGTGAACCGTAGGTAACCGCTGCCTTTCATTTTGTGCCTGAACTTCCAAAACTTTGCACAACGGCGATAAAAAAAGATCTTAAAGAGAGCAGAGCAGCAGTTACTGTCAAAAATGTAGAGGTTGAGTAAAGCATTCGCAAAGCCAAGTGAAACTTCGCATTACAAAACCAGCATGGTTGCACTCCGACATCCACATGGAACAGTTATAGCCTCCAAAAAGGCAATGAAGAAAGTCATCCACGATTAACACTCGATTCTCTTTAATACCCACCTCTTCCTCCCCACACATGAAATAAAGGAGAATGGGTATATCGTACCACCGGTTCTCCGTTCCGAAATCCGATATGCTATTTCATATGTGAAAAATCGAACAACACCAGGTTCGGACAGGGTAGGATCTGAACACCTGAAGAGCCTTCAGCCAGTCCTCATAAACACACTGGCTCGGGCTTCACATCTTAGCAGTCAGAATGCAAATATCTTATTCCATAGAAGACCAGCAATGCCGTTTTGTTTTTTTAAGAAGAGTGAACAGCACGATATCGGCAACTATCGCCCAATCCGTTTGCTGCCTATCGTCTAAAAAGTCTTCACTCGCCACACTAAAGAAGAGTGACAGAACAGAATACTAAACGAAGGACAGCAATGTGAGCAAGCAGGGTTTCGAATAGTGTTCAGCGCGGTGGATCACATGCACACCATAACAGGACTCATTAAAGTATCGCAAGAGCACAAGAGACCGCTCTATCTCACTCTCATCGATTTTAAGAAAATGTTTTGGCTCATTTTAGATAGAAGCAGTCATAGATGCTCAGTGGAGCTAGCCAAAGTGATAGAATTTTCCTAAAATTGTTAACCGTCACGCCACAAAACGTCAGGCAAACATTGGAATGAGGCGAAATGCTGGTGGAACTCGATTACTAGCATTCAAACCATCTTCACTTTGCTGATCACATCGCTCTTATCACAATAAGGACTAAAGAAGCCAAACACTAATGCTTACCGACTTTGAAAACGCCTCTGGAAAAATCGGTCTTTGGCAAAATCTTAGAAAAATGATATTCATGAGGGACGAATTGGTTTCGTGTGCCCTACTCATTATTAACGTGTGAATGTCTTTGTATGCTCCAGTTACATAGCATGAGGGATTCATCAATACACACATGTATCCTAGGCCTGTTTTTTCTGAAGCAAATCCTTCTGATACATTCGATTAATGCTATAACTTTCTGCCTTGTCACCCACATGGCACACATAGTGTTGCTGATAAAATGAAGGATGTCAAGCCTGCAAATTTGTCACCTGTATCACCTGTAGTCTCGTTTGACGTCGAGTGACTCAAGTGGGGGCCAGTAAATCTTCCATTTTTCTCTTTCGAGTGCAAGAGTAGGCCAGTGAGTTTTGCTCGCTTTAGGGATTCGTAGAGCACCACATCTTTCTTCTAGGCTTTTCGTGAAGAACTATGACCATCGGGTCGGTAGCCTTCCTGCAGTACGTTTGACATCACTAGGATTCCAGTCACTAACGGCTCTTGTCAATCGGTTGTCATTCATACGTATTACGTGTCTGGTCCACCTTATCTTCGACTGTTTGGCGTACAGAACGGCATCTTCGATTTTTGATCGTTAGCGCAGATCGGAGCTTCGGATCTCATCCCTTAGTTGCGTGACACGGAATACTCCTAGCAACGTCCTTTCGACCGCGCGTTCGACAACGCTGAGTGACCTTTCATCCTGCTTACGCAGCGACCAGGTTTCTGACGCACACGATAGAGCAGGAAGTACCGCTAAGTCGAAAAGATGGGCATGGAGTCAGGTGTTCTTTGTTCTCTTCACTGTACCCTCAGTGTTCTTGAAGGATCCCCAAGCCGCTCATTTCTAACTGTTCATCTCTAGAGCTAAGTCGTCCATAGCATTGATTTCTTGCCATAGATAGATGTGACTGGAGCACACGGAGACATTCACCCATAGAGAATGAGTGCGGCGTACGAAATCAATTCCTCCCTCATGAACATCGTTTTTCTAAGATTCTGCCAAAGGCTGAGCTTTCCAGAGGCGTTGTCAAAGTCGGCAAGCATAAGTTCCGCTTCAATAATGCTTGTTGTTATGAGACCGATGTCATCAGCAAAGCGAAGGTAGTTTGAATACCAATAATCGATTTTTACTCCCATTTTGCCTCATTCCAATGCTCGCCTGACGTTTTGTGGGGTGAAGGTTCATAGTTTTGGGAAAATTGTATCGCTTTGCCTAGCTCCTCTGTGCATCCATGACTGGTTCTATCTTAAATGAGTCAAACGTTTTCTTTAAATCGATGAGAGTGAGGTAGAGCGCTCTGTTGTGCTCTTGCGATACTTGAATGAGTCCTGTTATAGTGTGGATGTGATCCACCGCACTGAACCGTTTTCGAAACCCTGCTTGCTCACATTGCTGTCCTTCGTTTAGCGTTCTATCAGTCCTCTTGAGTGAGACGAGTGAAGACTTTTTAGACGGTAGATAGCAAACGGATTGGGCGATAGTTGCTGATATCGTGCTGTTCACTCTTCTTAAGAAAACAAAACCTTATTGCTGGTCTTCTATGGAATAAGATATTTGCATTCGAACTGCTAACGTGTGAAAACCCGAGCCAGTGTGTTTACAGGAACTGGCTTAAGGCTCTCCAGTTGTTCAGATCCTATCCTGTCCAGCCCTGGTGTTGTTCGATTTTTCACCTATAAAACAGTATACCGGATTTCGGAACGGAGAACAGGTGGTACGACATATCCATTCTCTTTTATCTCATATGTTGGGAGAAGGAGGGGGCTTTCAAATAGAATCGAGTAGTAATCGTGGATGACTTTCATCGCTTTTTTTGGAGGGAATAACTGTTCCATGAGAATGCCGGAGTGTAACCATGCTGGTTTTGTAATGCGAAGTTTCACTTGGCTTTGCGAATGTTTTTCTCAACCTCTGCAGATTTACCCATAACTGCTGCTCTTCTCTTCTCAAGATCTTCTTTTATCGCCATTATACAATGTTTTAGAAGATCAGATATGATGTGACGGTACCTATGGTTCGCATGAGTCAACATTGGCTCATCAATTCGATTGTTTTAGTGGACAAATTCCAAGTGAAGCAGTGCACAACTGCTGGCTTATAGTCTAGTAGTCTAATAGTCTAACGAAAAAACGTGGTTCGAACGTATGCCGATTTCTATTTCGACCATAAATACGATTTTGAGTGCATCTATACAGGGCAGGTTTGTTCAACGATGCGATTACTATTAATAATAGTGATTGTACACCACATTATGAGTAAGTGCTAGGTCCCCCTTCTCATAAATTGACACATGTGACAAACGGACTTGATGAGTTACTCGGTATCACATGTATCACAGTGTGTGGATGTGAGCATTTCTTGGATTCGATTGTTTTCCTCGGGTGTGGCCTGAGAAATTTTTTTAGCGTTCGTCACCAACACGAATGAGTGCTGATCAAGTCGATGCTCCCTATTATCCTGAAATAGCGCCATGCTTAGGCTTTCCAGCATGGATTAGAGTTCACGACCACGGAAGAATAAGAGCCATGGTTGAGCTGCCCGTGTAGTGAAGTGGATCACTGCTAATGGCCCACTGGCTCTCTTAGCATAATAATAATAATGGTAAAAATAATAGCACTTGATATTTGAACGGCCCGTCCTCACTAGTTGTGCGGATTCCAGCATAATCACCACTTTTCGGAGATTTGCGGGCTAAGCTACTTTGGAATCCCGAGGACAATCTGGCTAAAGTCTTCCCCGGGTTGTCACCACGACAGGCAGTCGCCGCCCTTGTGGATCAGAGGGAGATTTGCCACCATGCGACTTTGATACCAGGACGGTGGTGGATCCTGTTATTGGTTTACTCTTACTGGGCTTCCTGATGGAAACGCCGGACTCGTTCTCAGCTTGGGAGACCTTGCCGGGGGTACGAATCTCTCCGCCGTACATCGCGATCCGACACCCAGAAACAAACCCCAGCCACGATGAGGTGGTAAACCGTTCAGAGGAATAATAATAGTATTAATAATTAATGATGATTTAATTAGTTATAGTAAATGATAACTAAAAACAATAATTGGTACCGGTAATGGTTCATAAGTGCACTGCCAGTAATGCCGTTCAGTAGCACACGCAGGAGACATGTTGCACCCCACAGCGGCACTGCAAGGCCTTTCATACATCAGAGGTCGCGAAATTATTTTCAGATTTGACTGGGAAGTACGCGATAGAGCAAGTAATTCTGAGCAGACGAATGCCCGTAATGACGAACTGACAACACCACATCAGACCGACTCAATATTTCAAGTAAGATGCAGTCATGGAGTTTTGAGAAACTAGAATTTCACCATAATGGGAATCATAAACTTTTATCACTGCGAGATATGTATCAAATCCGACTACTTTTGTTTCTATGTAGACGATGATACAGTTGTTTTTCTATCAAATTATAGCACTTGAACGCATTTACTGAAAAATACAAATTCAGAGTCAGTCTATTAAATGAAAGTGAAGAACCTCGTCAAAGCAGTTGATCTTGAAAAATCCTTCTTAAATCATTGACATAAACTCGAAACTATTTTTGGAAAAACAGAACAGTATCGATAGGCTCTAAGGGTATTGAGGGAACACTTGCTCCATTGCCTTTTGAGATGTGTACTTTCGTTCAATCTTAATATTGTTTTGTGTGAAATAGAGATATTTCTGGAATAGATTTATTCCTCAAATACTATGCCTTCACTGGAGTACGAGCATTTTCGATTTCCATAACCGAGCCTTCCTTACTCGCCGCTGTTGTCCGAGTTTCCCTTTCTTCGTCATTACTGCTCAGTTCTTTAGCCGTCGCTACCTCCTCTGTGTTGCGCATTACTACCAGCTTGCTCAATAGTAGCTCAAGGCTTTCACTCTCAGATTTTTCGGCTTTAGGAAGATTTCGTCTCTGTAATAAATACAATATATATCACCGATTAAGAACACAGCATGCTGAAATCCAATACAATATCCGTTTACACTAGACAATTCTTTATATCGAAAAGTTTCACGAAGCATCAATAGTAATGTAAGCTTGTGTTATTTCCCTATCGCTGAGAAAAACAGAAAGATTAGAAAAGGCAGGATTAGAGACAGAGAAAATCGATCGCACTCACCTTTCCAGCTTTCTTAGCCTTTTTTCGCGGCATGCTAAGTTGAAATAAACCCTACTGCCCATTGAAGTATTTATATTAGACTTCGTTGATAGTGATAAGTTGAGAAATCATGATAGGAACACTGCCTTTCCAGTGAAGATGGAATAGATCATTGAATCATTGTGAGTCAACCAAGTCGAAGGAACGGTTGAATATCATTATCCTTTAATTTAGATTAACACCATAGCATGTCGTTAGACACTCTGTCTTCTCCACCTCTTGTTTCACCGAAATTCCTTTTTTTTCTCTTCCTCCTTTGCATTTCCTTTTATCGTACTCATTAAAGTTCATCAATCAATCTTCCTAGTTTAAAATGCTAATAAATAACCAACACTTTGCAGGAAGTAGATCGCGGCTAAGCACCGTCAATTGAACTACTAAACTAAACACTACCGTTGAGTGACTATTCAATCATCCTCGCAGACATTGTGATTTCAACTACAGCCTCAGCTTAGCCGGGTTCAATGACGATGTGAGCTCTGCAGATCAATCCGCTGAGGGGTGATTGCTGACGGCAAAAGATCGATAGAACTAGCCGAGAGACAGGCGGAACGAAGGACCCGCATGGTGTGATGGTGAACGCATTAGCCCCCAGAAAGGCTAATAGCGCGTTCGCTCCTCACCGCAGACACCTGCGGCCCGGAGTTTTGCAAATATCTCAAATCGTTGTGGTTGTATTTCGCATAATAACCTGCTGCAGCTCCTCTACGAAACCTATTTGCTAATGATGTTTCCCTTGACGATCGTTGAATTCTTCTTGAATCTTTGTGTTTAGAATGTACGTTTGGATAAGTTAGGGTTTAACTCATGTAGAGATTACTCTGTATGAGTTGTTTCGTAACCTTTCTTTAGTATATTTATTTATGTGATCTTATAAACTGATCTTCTTAAGCTGACGCGAGGTTGGTACAGATTTTCGTTGTCGTTGTCGTTGTTCTTGATGTTACTGATCGATGGCTGACGTTTCGGCGGGTATTAATACTTTAACTTTTTTTCCACCGAATAATAAAAATATTCTAATACAAAATACATCGAGGCTCTGAGGAAGGTGAAGTCGCCGAAACGTCAGCCATCGATCAATAACATCAAAAACAACGACAAAGACAACGAAGACCTGTACCAACCTCGCGTCAGCTTAAGAAGACCAGTTTATAAGATCACATAAATAAATATACTAAAGAAAGGTTACGAAACAACTCATACAGAGTAATCTCTAAATGAGTTAAACCTTAGCTTATCCAAACGTACATTCTAAACACAAAGATTCAAGAAGAATTCAACGATCGTCAAGGGAAACATCATTAGCAGATTGGTTTCATAGAGGAGCTTCGTTGTTGAGAAATGAATGAAAACTTCTCGATGATCAGAACTCACAAATTCTTACAGATAAGGAATCGCTCACCTTAAGGACATGCGGTATTTCTACTAGACATTTATCCAGTTTTAAAATCCTTCTTAATCAATACGTTCACAAAATTGAAGATAAAAACCAGGAAAAAGTTTGAACGAAAGATAAAAGGGTTCCAAATTAAGGTTTTTCACTTGCAAATAGAAAGCATTTGAGGAACTTCAATATGTGTTGCTCGACGAAGTACAGCTCGTTCAATATGTTAAGTGTTTGAGATTTCAGCACTAGCGAATACGAAGCAAGCAAAAAAGCTATGAACTCCAGAAAGCCTAAATTTAATCTTAGTATGGTAGGACCTGTTTCTTGCTGGCAAACGCTTATGGATCACTGGTTTATGCTCCAATCAACAAAGTTCATTCACTTTGAACTGAGATTATTTGGTATGAACATAAGGGTAGACATTATTTTCGCATCATATCCATAGGATTCAATGCATGCCCACGCCAATGTCTTCATGAACACTCATATAAAAAAACGTATGAGATGAGAGCCAATGCTGAGTGATCAACAGACCTCACTCATCAATTACACTGGATCAAAGCATTTTCACCAGACGAACTTCCTACTCGTACTCTCCTTCAGCAAATCCAACAATGACAAGTCACTGAAACGCTCATTAAGAGATTCGTGAAAAAAATTCTCCGGAAATTGTAGTCCTATTAGAACCTTTTATGATTTAAAACTAGTTTGCCACTCAGAGCTTTCTACATCAAGTCAATGAAAACAGTTAGTCTGTGATTCTGCTAAGAAACATTTGTTGGAAGTAGGTGGATGAGAACAGAGTGCTTTCTTCCTTTCCCGAGTGCAGCACAATGAGTATTCTCTGAGTACACACAACTTTACGATAGTGATTTCGATATGGACGAACTGTAGCTTTAAAGTTTACCCACTGGTGTTAAATAAAACAGAAGTTCCCCTACCATGTAAGCGCACTAGTGAAAACCGTAGTCAGCAAAGGATAAAGGTTAAAGCGACCCGCCTCGATGAATCCCTGAGGGATGCTTCATACGTTCAACTCCATTAAGCATCATAAAGATGAACTAATACTTGGCATTCTTAAAGACTTGTGGAAGTCTATCGACACGGGGATTTAGTATTTCCACCCTCACAGATAGGTCTGATACGAATTTCCCAAACCCGGAGAAACGGTTTTGTGAGTCCTAGTGCAAAGTCTAACCAGCGAAGCATCGATTGCAAAGCACATATACTGTGCTGTACGCAAACCCAGCTTTAAAACAAAAAATTTTCGTTAAGCTGTAACCACGTCGCGGTTTCAGACAAGGGCTGGTTATATTATATCAAAACGTTGGGTGAGCATTACAGTTATTAGCACACCGAGGGCTCCGCAAACCATTGTCATAATCATCTGCGTCGACAAAAATTCAGCGGATTACTTTCTATTCAGCAACTTGACGATCATAGATCTTTCCAAAAACATTCTTATTTCAGCAACTGACACTGTAGTGCCGATGCACATTAGGACGCCGGTCTTTCTAATAGATAATGCTCATGGAGAAGGATGTTGGCGAGGAAAAGCTAACGTCCGTACGCAAAGAGTATACCTATTTAACATGCGATCTTTGTAAAACCTGTATATTTCAGACGCCTCTCTAGATCTCTAGAAAGTTTCTTACATTTACCCATAAATGTTACTCATCTGGATCAACATTTCTCGCGTGTCCGTTGTGCACTCGAAGGGTCATTGCACCGACGTACTCAACACTAATATAAGCTACGTAATGGAGAACAGCTTCTCACTATGAAAAGTACTATATATTAATGTCTCAAACTAAACACAATCGACACATCTTTCTACTTAAGAGACTGGTTGGATTAATAAAAATGTGAAGCCGATCGCGTGAGAGAAACAAAGCAATGCATAAGTAGTAAGGCTCGACGATCCTTGAACGCAGAGATTCCAGACACAAAAATGAAGCAAAAACTTTATATTAACCATTTCTAAGAACAACGGCAATTAGTCAGATAACTCATTACTATAAACTCAACTCATTACTATAGACTCAACACATTACTATAAACTCCGTAAGAAGTAAAGAAGCAAACACTTAATGTAACGAAGAAATGAAAAACTCGTAATGATACGAGGTAAACAAGGACCGGTTAAAGCAATAAAAAACAAAGACACATTCATTTCCAAAAGACTAGTCCTTTATAGGTTAAGCACCCTAACAAGGAGATTCTACTGAAGTAAATACAACAGATACTTCGATTTAACGCATTTAAAGCCAGTCTGTAACCAATAAAGGAGTATTTCAGATTTTTATCGCTTCGACTGTGCCAGCTTAAAGCATGTCTTACCTGAACTTGGTCCCAGCAGTTCGGTTCGACTGAATTAACCAAGTCGATTAAAATTAGGGAATAAATTCGCAGGTGGAGCGGGAATGCTCGGAGCGAATGTGTGAGGTGGTGGCACAGGGGCATTCCATGGGTGCTGATTAACCAAATTACCTAAAAGCGGCCCAGGAAAAACGTTTGGAATATTGGGTAAACGACCGACCACATGAGGTGGTGGCGCAGGGGCGCTCCATGGTTGCTGATTAACCAAATTACCTAAAAGCGGCCCAGGAAAAACATTTGGAATATTGGGTAAACGACCGACCAGGTGAGGTGGTGGCGCAGGAGCGCCCCATGGTTGCTGATTAACCAAATTACTTAAAAGCGGCCCAGGAAAAACGTTTGGAATATTGGGTAAAGGACCGACCACATGAGGTGGTGGCGCAGGGGCGCCCCATGGTTGCTGATTAACCAAATTACTTAAAAGCGGCTCAGGAAAAACGTTTGGAATATTGGGTAGACGACCGACCACATGAGGTGGTGGCGCAGGGGCGCCCCATGGCTGCTGATTAACCAAATTACTTAAAAGCGGCTCAGGAAAAACGTTTGGAATGTTTGGTGAACGACCGCCCATGTGAGAAGGTGGCGCAGGGGCGCCCCATGGGTGTTGATTAACCAAATTACTTAAAAGCGGCTCAGGAAAAACGTTTGAAATGTTAGCAGAATTTGGTTGTGGTTCGAATGCGATGGAATTAAGTTGCTGAGATGCAACATTTATAGACGAGTCGTTGACAGGTGGTGGCTGGATATTTTCCGTTTGATTTCTATTCGCTTCAAAAGGTGATTTGTCATTTTGATGCTCATGAGAGACTACCTCCTTGGGCGGCAAAGTTTCAGGTTCGACTTGGACTTCCTCAGAGAAAGAGGACTGTTTTTTGGGTCGACGAGTTTTCCTACCATAGAGCCTGGCTGGACGCTCGCGGCCGTTGTGCCGGATGTATACCGCGCAGGCGCTGGAATTTCACAGATTTGTTACACGAAGGCTAGATGAAATAAAAGCTATTCAAAATGTTCTACGTAAAAAAAAAAGCTGTGCAAAAATGCTTGCTTAATTAGTCGATATCATAAGGTTGTCAACTAATGTCCATCAATTTCACACACTTTTTCACAGTACTTTGCAACAAAATGCAATTCAATAACACACAAATGCAAAATTTTCTTTGTGTTCACCATAGTGCTTTTTCCGTGGTCAAAATGAGCCGATACTATTTAGTTTCTTAAAGCAAATCATAATATTTTTTCCTCCTGTACTTACTTGCATTTAAAATTCCCCACCACATCCTTTCTCCATTTAGGGGTACTCTTACAGCCGCATGTTGCGCAAGATCTTCTTCTTTTTACCGGAGGCTGAAATTAAAGGTATCTTATCTTGCTATTCACGAATCCAAGAAATAAATACACTTGATGTTTTTCTGCGACAAGACCTTTAATAAACATTTAAAGAGCAACTACTCGATTCGACTCCATGTTACGACTAGGTGTATTCATATATCGCAACAAATAACTGTTATGGGCACTTCACTAAAATCAATGCTGTGCTAAAGAAAGTAATGGCTTTGGAACGACAACCACAATAAAGATTTGTAAAGATTTCGCGTAAGATTACAGTTTAGCAGATGTTGCCTATTTCAGTAGAATACATAAAAGTGTCCTGCAGTGCCTCAAAAACTTCAAAAAATTTCAATGTTCACGATATAACCAATTCCTATCCTGCGGCTTTAATATCTGATTGAAATATCTTCCAACCATTTCCCCGAGGAGAAAAAAAATTTGGTTTCAAAAACATACGGGTAAATGATTTCTTAAAATTGACTCAAACTTTGCTTCAGAATAGAGCGTGTACACCAAATGGCTCATATACATATATAGAACAACTATGTTTAAGAATCCGTAAATACTGGTTAAACCGCAGAAGGGAGTGCGGTATATTATGGCATAGAAGCAAGCACTGAACAAAAATCCGTCACAGCCATAAAGTCTCAACCTTCACCGAAATCCCCAAAAACCAATGCAATAGTCCTCAAATACATTTAGATTTGCTTGTTTAATATAATTTCAACGGATCTCTCCCATTTAAAGAGCTCACGATGGTTAGTCGCCAGGGAACATGGCGTGTCTCCAGGTGACGGAGAGGAAGTTAGTCGTGCAACGAAAGCGACCTTCATTTTTATGAGCTGGCTTGCCACATACCTTACGCGTTTATGAAGACATATACATGCATGGATGTATCCATGTTTACACGGATTGTTTTCTGCAGGTTAGATCGTCCAAAAGCTTGCATGCACGCGACAAAAAAGTATAGAGGAGGCATTAGAAGTCTAAAAAATAAGCTTTCCGTCCACTCTGGGAGAGTTGCAAAGCCACTCGTGAGTACAACCAGCAACGTGGGGTACGAAGAGTGCGAAGAGCCCGTTGAAATATCAGTGCTACAGTAGGCTACCTCGATTGCAAAAGACTAAGGTGACGATCTGCACCTAAACTGCAGGCACACTTGCATCTGAGTCCTCGATAGAAGACTTGACCATACAGCCAAGAGGAATAAGGTATGATGTCATTTTACTGGTTGAGACGAAAAGACCCCGATCATTCAACGCCATCTGTGACGTCAGAAAAAACTTTTCCTCGGAAGATGCGATAATAGAGGAGTCGACGGCGTCGGTGTTCTCGTAAACACGGGTGTGGCCATGAACACCGATTTATTCGAAGAAATAACAACCCGAATCGGGTGATTACGACCGAAGAGATGTTGGCCACTACCGGCTTTCACAATTTTTCAAGTCTACGCACCGACATCGAGCAATGACGAAGACGAAGTCCATGCGTTCTAAATAGACTTGGGATTCTACAGAGAAGATCATAGATTGTTTAAGGTCATCATTGAAGATCTTAGCACTAGGAATGGATCTAGAAGAGCGTCTGACGTCATATGGATCCGCGGATTAGACGAGAACTACTAAAATGAGCGGCTATCTGGGCTTATCATGACGACCAAGACCAATCATGGTAACTCGCAATTCACCCTCAACACTGGACGTGGGAGTCTCCCAGTTGAGAGTACCATAACGAGATAGACCACATCACAGTAAACCGAAGGTTTTGTCTAACGATGTCTGTCGATGTCGCCATCGTCCCAAAATTTTACACAGGAAGACCACCGCCTCCTTAGTGTAAGATTCCATTTCTCGTGGAAAGGAGAAAAATCCGTTAAATTCAAAAAACAAAATCTACGAACCTCCATAAACTGTTATTTATTCAGTTCAATAGCAGGCTGTTGGAAAGATGTCGATGTTGACAATTCCGACGAAGAATAGAATGGCTCGTTCACCATCTTCACGTTAGCACAATGGAAGCTGAGAGTTCAAGTGTAACCAGGAGACTCTTTTTTCTGGAAACATTCAAGATGATACAACAGCGTGGAATTGTACGACCTAGAGGCAACGGCCAACTCACGTCCGAACTTGCAAAACAATGCAGACAGGCAATAAAAGCATATCTTAAAGAGAGAAGACCAGTAATTATGCTTGAAGCCGTGGAGGCTGAGAAAAACAATCGCAAAGTCTATTGAAAATTCACCAGTTGCACATCCAAAATGATGGCACTCCGACGGTCAAACACAACAGTTACAACTTCGAGAAAGGCAATAGAGAAAATCTTTCACGATTACTTCTTAAATCTCTTCAGTAATCACATCGTTCTGTCCTCATGTGGAGCAAAGAAGTATGGTAATGGCAATGCTTGGTATTGGTAAAAATGATGGTAAGAAGCTATTTTGTTCCACCCATTCTCCTTTTCGAAATCCGAAATGCTCGTTGATTAAGAGTCGAACAACACCAGATCCAGGATAATATTTGAACATCTGAAGAACGCTCCGCCAGTCCTCATCAGCTGGCTTGGATTTTCACACAATACTGGCCTGAATAGAAGCTTCCCACTCACTGGAGGAAGAGCAGGGCCGTACTGTTGTTCAAGAAGAGTGACCCCCACGATATCGGCAACTATTGCCCAATCTGCTTGCTGTGTCATCTACAAACTTTTCGCTCGAATCGTGGTAAACAAAATTAGAAGAACACTAGACGAAGGACAGCCAAGTGAGCAAGGAGGGTTTCGAAAAGGATTTAGTACAATGGACTGCATCCATATGATAACAAGACTCACTGAAGTATCGCGAGAATACAAAAGACCGCTTTGTCCCACTTTCAACAATTTGAAGAAAGCTTTTGACTAAGTTGAGATGAAAGCAAGCTTGGAAGCCCTGGACAGTCAAAGTGCACACGCTCAGTGGATGCTGAGAGAGACATTTGCAAAACTTTCGGAACGCAACTGTCTGCCCTGGAGATCGAACACGCTATTGCCATTTTCTGAGGACAACGTGTTCAGCATCATTAAGGTTGTATTTCACATAATACCCTGCTGTGAAAAATTGTAGAAGGCTCTGAATAAAAGGTTAGCAGTGTGACTTCGACTACAGCCTCAGCTTAACTCGGTTCAATGACGATTTATGCTCCCAGATCAACCCCGCTGAGGCGTGATCACTAAAGGTTCCATTACGTAGATAAACTAGCTGAGAGAAAGATGGGACGAAGGATCCGCATGGTGTGATGGTGAACGCGTTGGTCCCCGGAAAGGGTAATAGCGTGCTTAAACCCCACTGCAGACACCCGAGGTACGGTGTTTTGTAAATATCGCAGCATCACCGTGGAATGAATATCTCCGAATGCCCCAGTTATGTGTCTAGATGGAGAAATGAAAACGAAAAACGACTCAGCTCCATAGTTAAGTAGCAAGAAGCGAGCGGCTTGGGGAGCTTTCAAGAGCATAGAGGATGTAGTGAAGAGAGCAAAGAGTACCCAATTTCATGCCCACCTTTTCGACTCCACGTTTCTTCTTGCCTTAATGTTCTTGGCAGAAGCGAATTCGCTGAATAGGCGAAATGAAAGACCACTCAACGTTATAGAACGCGATGTCGAAAAGACAGTGCTAGAACTATGCCGTGTCACGCAAGTGAGGGAAAGGAAGAACACCTAGTCGATGGTCAGAATTCTTTAAGAAACTAACTCCCAAAACCATAGAAGAAAGCCATGATGCCCAACGAGTCCCTAGAGAAAGCAAAGCCCACTGGGCTACTTTAGCACGCGACAGGGAAAAGTGGGAAGTTTAGTGGCTCCCGCTCGAATCACTCGACGATAATCGAGGCAATTGATGAAGGTGAGAAAAAAAAAGAGTTTAAGAAGAAGTTCTAAAATCTTTTACATTACCTCTGCTCTCTTTTCAACTTGGTTTTCCTCCGAAGTATTATTGAAACCTAGGAGGTCGCTAATCGTGAAACTTTTGCATCCTAAAATGTTATAGTGCATGCTAACCCTTGTTATATAACTGATATTAGTAACCAATGTTATGTTACTAAAACTGATAAATCTACAAAAGAATTCATGTACATAACCTGGAATACATTGTGAGCTTCTTTGAAGAAATCACACAAAAGAAAAACCCACTCTTCTTGTCTCCCTCTTGAGGCTCTCCATCCTGATGAGATGGCTGGCCAGATGCAAGGATTGAATCCTTCACTTGAAATTTTAGAGGTACTTGTCTCGAAGCTCCAAAACCCTTAAAAATCAATCAAACAGTCTTAAAATACATCTATATTCTCTCGTTTGAGACGATTTTGAAACAGAAACCTTGGTGGTTTTACATTACCTTTGCCACATTTTCGATCTCTTCACAACTATCGCCTGTAACGGCAGCATCACCTATAGCGCGACCGATCATGGATAAATGATTCCTATCTAAAAATGTAGTTATAGTGCATGTTATTCGTTGTTACATAACTGATATCGGTAACGAAAGTTGTGCCACTAGAAATAGTACATCTACAATGGAATTCGTGTACATAACCGACAGCACATTGTGAGCTTCTTTGGAGAATTGACAAAAATCCTCAAAGCAGACGATTAAAAACTGTTTGGTAATGCACTATAACATTAAGGTAAAGAGATAAAGATGTATGGAAAGCCCACAAGAAGTAAACTGCAATCACGTCCTTGTTGCGTAGCCGCACCACCACTCTACATGTGGTCAAACGCTGCCACATCATCTCAGCTGTTATTGGATGAAAATCCCTTGGTGATAAGCAGCCATTATCTAAGAAGAAAATAAGATGTGATGGTATCAGTCTTTGATATCATTCTTGCGGTCCACTGAAATGATCATTATAATCATTACAGTATCTACACACGGCTTCCATCATATCCATTGTGCTCTCACAAAACTTCGCATCGTTCAAACAGCATATGTTGACATAGAAAAAAGAAAAACAAACAACAACAGGGAAATACCCAAACTCGCAGTAAGTGCGACTTGCAAAACGGACGCAATAATGGGAAGACTAAAGGCATCAACGACTTATATAGATCGCTTTCGCGCGCTTTGTATTAGAGGATTAGAGCACAGTAGGATCACGATAGATTTAAGCAGGTGAAAGAGAGAGCTTCACATAACTTTCTGCTTTCCTTTTCCTTCTTAAAGTAATTTCAAAACTTGAACATAAATAAAATGTAGAACAAACTGGAGTTTCTTCGGAGGAGCAGCGAAACACTTTGGAACAGTAATTGATTCGAAATAAAGTTTCAAACTTCTGTGAAAAGGAGAATGGGAAGGTATAATTTCTTCAGAACTGAAAAGGCTTTTCGCAGTCCCGTTGATATTCCGGCTGCTCCCTTCTATATTCATTGATACGGCTAGTGAACAGCAAGAAAACATGCCGAAAGTAGTCTTGTGAATGTTGCTAACTGTCATCTTCTTCATAGCTTCAAAGAGTATCCATCCACAAGCTTACATTTATACTCATGAGTTTCCTGAACACGAAAAAAAAGCAGAATAAAAAACTTCGAATAGCGAACTTGTAAGGGCGCGTGTGGCGCAGTGGTCGGAGCAGCCCTGCAACACACACGTGGAATCGATCCCTGCGCCTATGGCCCGCCAAGTCTTCCATCCGTCCCGGGTCGGCAAATTGGTACCAAACTTGTCTGGGAGGATAGTAGCACTGGCTCGATACATCGGTAGGCCACCGCGAGTTATTGTAAAGGCCAGATATGCATTCAATCACCTCCAACAATGCTTGACGAAGTCGAATGCATGGCGCCTCCATCAGGAATAGAGCAACGCCGAGAGCTTTATCCTTTATCCTTTAATTTATTCAACACCTTTAAGGATTGTAGAGATGACTGAATGCAAATTTGGCCAATTCGATGATTTGCGAATACCTAATCATTCTCAGATCGGTGATTTCACATTCTCAGGCAAGTTTGTTAGCAACCTGTCGACATCAGAAACATGCAGAACTCGGTTCTTCGGGGAAGCAAGACCGACCTGTCGACTCTCCTGGAATTACGGAGCACCGCCGTTCTTCCCCACTCTTTGTGCAATATTACCACAGTAAATACCACTTGGCAGTCGTTATAAAAGAAGACAATTTATGTCTGTCTGTTGTCAGATATCTGTCCCGTTCCAGCCCATTTCACAAATACTCAAATGTTCTGGACTCGTCGATGTAACGCGTCCTAACAGCGCGTACGCGATGGAGTCCTTCGTTGTTATCACCCTTTATACAGACGAATCGGATGACTCCTCTATTCAAGCTAACCCCAACTCTTTACGCACACAAAAGAGTAATAAGCATGTTTAGCTTATCGATTCAACAGTCCATGGTCTTCCTAAAGTTGTGGCTAAGTTGCTGGATCTTCAGGTGGGTCCGCGAAATATTTCACAAAATTAGAGGCTTGGCAATGGGATAACGAATGGTACCAAGCCTTGCCATTGTCTTTATGTCTTAGATTGGAAGCACCAGTAATCGATCTTCGGCCATTACTGTACTGCAAATATAAAGATTACTTCTTTGTCATTTGTTCAACACAAGAGGAAATGGACAAATGCTTTGAGTTACTGGACGAACAGTCAGAGTACATAAGATTCATCCAAGGGAACCCGAAAGAAAACTGGCTTCCATTCCTTAACAGGTAAATTAACGTAATCTAAAACAGCTACATCACGAAGTAGTATCGAAACGCAGTTAATAAAAATATAGTGGTTTATCACTTCTCCTCTCGCCTATCACAAACAAAAGGGCGCTTGTAAAAAACATGTTTCGAAGGTTTCGAAGTGCCACCAGCGTGTGCACAGGAAGTGAACACGAGGTATAATCACGAAAATTGGCGAAGCAAATAGACATTTCTAATGACGAAACTGCAGCTCGGGATAGGTGTGGAGAGAAATCCGAGCCCCCAAACGATAACTTTAGCGATAGTAAGGTCTTGCTTATCCTACCCTTCAAGCGAAATAAGTGCAGCTAAAAAACATTGCTTAAGAAGGGCCGGCCTTGAGAAATCGGTAACAGTGATTGAAATGCCACCGAGTACTCTAACATGCCAGTTAGTTGTTAACCGCCTAGTTGACCGTCTATGCACGGCGGAAAATTGTATAATATTCCTTAACAGTAGGGATGGTGATTGCATGCGTTCAGGTAAGGTGTACCTAATCTCTGGTAAAATGTGTGTGTACGAATACGTGGGCAAAACGGGTAGACTACTCTGCATTCGTATAAAAGAACACCTAATCGTTCAATTTAAATTCGAACCAAACATTCCACTAGATGGTCATAGGACAGAAAACATAATGGAAAAGATTTTAAAGTAAAAGTCACTATCCTCGTACAGGAATCCAAAAAATGACGCGTACAACTCTTGAAGCGCTTTCGACTAATTCCAAAAATCTAAAAATGGACCGCTATGAGAAGTGGCTTGTTATCACCTGTGACCTAGGGCCATACCCCAAGCCGATCGTCTGACCCGGGTCAACCCCGCCCATATAATATTCCGTTCGGCCGGTCTCCACCAAATAACTGGAAGACTTATAAAGAACAAAACAGTTGAGGTTTAAAAAAGCTGTTTATTATGATAATGCAAATTAATGTACTAATTTTTGTCTGCTGTGGTTATTAAAGCATTCAGCTGAGTATATCGCATGTCGGTTTAGCCTATCCAGGCTCTGAGGGCGAAACTGCGGAAACGTCAGCTACTGTGAGCAAATAAATGGTATAATACCAATCTCGCATTTGATCATCAAGAAAAACAATAAATTATATGCCGATGGTAAAAGAAAATCGTTCATGGAATTTGTTTCCTGAGAGTTAACTTATATAGTTACACCGCAACTGGTTGAGAAGTGCTGTAATGTTTGTGTATGGATACAGATGCATATTTGCAACTGTCAATTGTTAACCAGGCGCTCTGAAATTGCTGGTAGAGCCATGCTCACTTCCGTAGCACCTGCCTTCATTCGGCGCCTAGAACTCTCCATCTGTCAATTCTGCTCATCTTCTCTTGCGCTAGCACTACTTACTCCTTACTCTTATTTGTATTCTATTTTATACCTCACTTGTTTCTCACACTAATCTGTCGGTCGACTACACAAGCTATGCTCTTATTTTCAATATAACTTCTTACTGTCCATATTATCTTTGCCTTCTAATATCGTTGCCGTGTTACCGCTTATATTGTTTATACGCACAAATATTTATTTAGCAAGGTTTAGGGTCTGCTGCAACACATCTTTACCCACCTTTACAGCACTTCATCAAATTACTGCCTGCATTTGGTACCGACCATCGTCAACGGTGGTCCATAGACCCGCGGTAACTCCACTCGACCAATTTCTGTTTTCTTGAGACCGCATCCGTAAACAGCCTCGCACACGCCTGGATGTGGTGCTAGAACAATAGTATAGTCGTCGACAAGTCGCCCAATAAGTACCTTTTCAAAGAACACAACAATTCTGTGTGGCAACTTTACACTATACGCTTCCCGACAACGATTTATGCCCATCCAGATGTTACTCCAAGCATTTACCGTAGCGACAACAACGGTAGCTGGTCACTCACTGTTAACAAAATCTGTCTGCTGTCGTTCATCTCCTCAAAACAGCATTTGCACGGCAACTTCAACAATCTAGTACCTCTACAACTGTGATCTATGAAGACGACCCAAAGGTCAATAGCCGTGCAATGTCTGCCCTCCCTCGAGGCAGTACGAAACGACAGTGGTCATATGGTGAAGCTAAGACCTCGGCGTTCCTGACACCCGACATTTCCGTTCTCCTTTCGTGGTGAAAAAATTTGATCCTAGTTCATTGTCAGAGAACACTCCTGTGGCCACTGACCTTGTCGGGTAGTTATGCATACCATCACAACTCGATTGTTTCTCTACATTGGCACGTTTTGAAACCCACTGGTCCAGAGAAACTCTGTAGTTTCTTTCTACGATAACATCTTCATTCGCAAGAACGCTGTCTTAGTCCGCTTCATGTCCTTACATTGTGAACCTTAATTGTTAGGATCTTCATGAAGATAAGCAGTAGTAACCACTGATACACTCGATGTTTATTATTGTCATAATAATCACTGATGGGTCTAAGCTATTTCAATCCTATTTTTATGCCTACCATGTTAATCTCAATGCACCGTTGTTGTTATATTCTTCGTGCCAAATTGTCGAAACTATTGTTGAACGGACACGTAATGCATCTAAACGGCAACCGATGGACATGGCCCGTTAGTGACTGGATCCCTCAGGATATCAAACGCACAGCAGGATAACGACTGACTCGATGGCCAGGGTTTTCAATGAAACCCTAAGAAAAGTTTGAAGGTCAACGATTCCTTATAACGAGCAGAACTCGCTAGGCTACTCTTGTACCCGACAGAAAAAAAATTGGAA